TGCTTCACAAAGTGTACCCGTGACTCAGATAATCTGGTGAGAGATACATAATTGTTGATGGGATATTTCCCCTTTGCATTAATATCTGCTTCGTAGTGTACTGGGGGTTTACCACGATTCTTCCTTTTTGGAATCTGATATGTAGGCTCTGCGCCTTCTGAAATGCAATCAGTTATTTCATTAATGTTATCAGTTTCAGGTAGAGAAGGTACCTGAATGACGTCCTCAGCAGATGATTGGTGTGGTACTGGAGCTGAAGAATTTTCCGGAGCAGGCATAAACTCTTCAATTCTCTCCTCCTGAGTGTGATGGCTGGGATCGGACTGAAGTGGAACAATTTCAGTAAAAACTGGGGGGAGAGACCGATCGTGAGGGTCAGGCAACCGGTCGTGAGGGTCAGGCGACCGGTCGTTTTCAGGCAGAGTCGGGATCGTGCGTTGCGACGCGCGTGGCGACCGGTCGTGAGAAGAATGCGACCGGTCGCTTTCAGGCAGAGTCGTTATCGTGGGGGGCGACCGGTCGTGAGATACCTGCGACTGGTCGCTTTCAGGCAGTGTCGTTTGCGACCGGTCGTTTTCATCTGGCGACCGGTCGGTTTCGTCGGGCGACCGGTCGCTAGAGGTCGGCGACCGGTCGTTTTGAGTCTGGAATGAATTTGGAAAACCGGCTGAAGGGAAAAAATTGGAAATTTGAGAAGTGTCCTCCTGTGCATTTGAAAAATAGAGCTCGTGTTCCCGGAACACATCGAAGTATAAACCTTCTGACTAGGAGGATGATAACACCGGTAACCTTTTTGATGAGGTGCATAACCAATGAAAACACACTTGTCGGCGCGGGGATCCAATTTGCTGCGTTGGTGATCATGTAAGTGGACAAACACCACACAACCAAAAATGCGGGGTTCCAAGTTTTGGGTGGGAGGTATTTGCTATGTGCACCAAAGAGTGAGGCACGAACTACTTCCAATAAGTGGCGATTCTTTCGTTCTGCCACACCATTCTGTTGAGGAGTGTAAGGACATGAGCGTTGATGTATGATGCCATGATCTTGAAAGAACTGATTCAGATCATGGAGTGGGAATTCTAGCCGGGCCCCAAACATCAGAATGAACAAGAGAAAAAGGAACCAGACTTTTAGCTGAGCGTAAGGGAAAAGGAACACGATGGCTC